CATTGCATCTCATACACGCAAGCAGCAACGCCGTCGGCAAAGTCAGTGGTGTGTGTCGCTCGGGCTTGATAAATTATTGTTCGTCGACCACATAATGCTGTACCGCACAACCATGCTGCCACGTGGGGTTCGTAACCGGATCATCCGGATGTTCATCCGCGGCAGCGGCAATGGGATGACGACCACGCTGAGCAGCAGTCCGCGGGAGAAGTGGCAGCGCTGCCTCACGCCCGACGCGGCGCTGTTGTTGGGCGAGCTCCTCGAGGCCATTGTGACGTACCTGCGTCGCCGGCTTGTCAAGGGTACCGCAGGCACAACGCTCGACCTCCGACACCGCATCATCGACTTTGCCGCATCGACTACGTGGCTCATGCATGCGCTCGCGACAACGCGCGTGCGTCTGAGAATGGTCCCAGTATACGGGTATGTGTGGGGCGAGCGAGGACAGCGTTGCGGCGCTGCTGCTTGCAACTTGCCACGATGACCGCACAGGTGGTCTCAATGCCGCCAGATGAGATGTGTGCCTTCCCAGCGCTTTGCGGCAGCAGGCGATATGACGAATGGTCTTGATATTACAGGCTCATACAAAAAGCATCAAGGTCGGCTGGACAGCGCGCATCAGACTAGAAAATCATCCTCGCGAGACACCTCAAGCGGCACGTCCAGTGGCATCCTCCTGCGTTGGTCGACGTAATCTTGGTGTTCCCACATTCGCATCAGGAGTTCGTCGTCCCCTTGCGTCTCCATCGGCGGCGCTTCCAGTCCTGCCAAGCATCTTCGGTGACGTGGCAGCGCCGAAATGAGCGCGTCGCAGTCCCGGAAATCGTCCTCACTGCCCACCGTGTCGCGGGCGTCGATCAACGTCGTCGTGTCGAGCTCCACGTACGTCCACGCTCGCAAAAGAAACACAAGGCCCTTGGCGCCCAGCGGGTTCTTGCACAAGCGCCAGGTCTCGAGCCGAGGAAGATGTGGCAAGAGACCGCTCAGCGCCATGACGCCACTGATTTTGATATTGTTGCGACCGAGGTCCAGCGTGCGAAGGCGCGGTGTGTGCACCAGAGTAGCTGCGAGCGCCGACGCGCCAACGTCGCCAAAGCCTTGGTCGACCAGCGTGAGTGTCTCGAGCTGCGACGCGTTTCGAAGGAACGCCGCGAGGATCTGGATGCCAGCATCACCCATCTTGTTGGATGTCAAAACGAGATGTTTGTAGCGTCGTAGACGAAGCGCCAGCTTGAAGCACTGGTTCGTCGTGAGGCAAACGTTGGTCAAGTGCAACGCCGTGAGCTGCGTGAACCGCGGCAGGTCCAAGTCGACAAAATCCTGCGTCGCGAGCTCGTCTTGACATGACGGCCTCTGCATGAGCCGCAACTGCAGCGATGTGATCGGGCTCGTGCTGAACATGGGCAAAACGTCCTGTTCGTGCCAAGGCAAAACATCGTCCAACTGGCGTCGAAAGATCACGTCATGGGCCAACGACGTGAGCGTGGGCTTGGCCCAGAGCCGGTGCATGTGCGAGAACTCGTATATGTTAGTCATGTGCAGCGACGTGAGCGGAGTCGCGTCGATCCAGCTGGCGAGCGCTTTCGCCTCCGTGTCGGGAAAGTGCAGCCCGTGCACAGAACGCAGCGAGAGCGACGTCACATGACGCAGTGATACGAGACCATGGACCAGCGTCGTGAGCAAATCGTGCTGCCACTGATACGTCCAATTGCCCATTGGCGGTGGCGCCGACTCTAGAACCTCGATCGACCGAAGCGACGCTGCGTTGGCAGCGAGGACGTGCTGCAGGCACGCGAGCACGCGCCAGTCGTCGGTCCAGTCCGCAATGTCGAGGCAAAGGTGGCGCAGCGTCGGTCGCGCGCGCGGTGGCGTCGCGACTTCAGGCACGGTGAGCAGCGCAGTCGGTGCATTCACGCAGAGGGTATGAGTCGTCGCCAAGAGCTGGTCGAGCACGCGATCTGCGTTTCCAAGCTGCGCGAGCAGGCCGAGGTCGAGGCCCGTGAGAACGCGCGATGCCCGAGCGCCTG